CTACTAAATGGACAGGGACAAACCCTTTTTCTACCATGAAATGAATAATGCATAACTAAATTTTATTTTAATATACAGCAGTTAAAATGGAAAAACAAGAAGGTTCAGGTGCCATAAAGGAACCAGGAAATTGAAGCTGGGAGCTGTGGACAGGAAGCCTGTATCCGGGTCCATGCAAGGAAGGAGTGAGAAGAGAGACTACTGCCAAGACACAGGCACTCCAAGCACTCCTCCAGCCCTCCCTCACCGCCGGAACCCTGCCTGCCTGCCCAAAAGGACACTTCTGTTAGGGATTTGAAGCAGTGCATGAAAGTTACCCGGGGAAAACCAAACACCCACACCTGGGTCGCAATACATTTACACTAGTGCAAGATGAGGGTCAGGGGCCGGGGCCTGGCACAGGCGGTTTCAAACCACTCTGTAGTGTAGCTGCAAAACCCCGGGGCACACACAGCACACTCACCGAACAAATAACCTTTGCTGACGATGAGCTCATGTTGTCAAGCCCCGTGAGGATGCAAGCCACCATAAGGGAGAATCAGCAGATGCAACTAATACAAACATGAGCATTTGAAGAACTCAATAGGCTATAAAATAAATGACCAAAGGTAACTTTTAAAGGAACAGAAACTATAGTGAAATAGCATGAAAACAAACAAAAACAAGCAACTTTGAGGAGTGAAAGACTTTAGAAATTTAACAGCCAGTATCTTCTTCGCGAAGAGCACTGAGCTGCACAAGAGGAACGAAGCACACCAGTAACTAAACAGTGGGGGCGTCACAGCACCGAAGTCAAAAGGATGAACTCACACTTGCTACCAAGTATTTCAGAACCTCGGACATGCATTGCTATCCCCGCCTGCAAGGTTCCGAGGGAGCAGCAAATGGCCCGGGGGTTCTGGCATGCTTAAATGTTGTGGTAAAGGGATTTGCTCCATTTCAGAAAATGTGAAATCTATGGCCACACATCCAAACTATTTATGTAAAATTAAGCCCTAGGTTTTTACTATAAATTTCACCCGACTACATACTATACATAGAAGCAGCAGTCAAGAAATAAAAAGGACACCTTACAAAGGGCTAATCTGCTGCACAAGACGTCTATAAAGTATTAAAAGAACAAAGATGCCACTTTCAAGATGAAGGGGCACCTGACCGAAGGCAAGGATCCCTAGGGCCTTAGTGGGTTGTGCACTCTGCTAACCACCAGGTCAGCAGTTCTAAACCACCAGCTACTCCAGAGAAAGAGGCTTTTATTCCCATAAAGTTAGTCTTAGGAAACCCAAGAGGTTGTTCTAGTCTGTCGCTGAGTCAGAACTGACTCGATGGCAGTGAAACGCAAGCCACGGGGTTTGGGATCACCCCATGCGCGCATGGAGGCAGGACGAGGAATATGGACGACCACGTGCAAGCCAAGAGTTGGATGACGGTGTGAAAGAACGCTCAAAGTACTTTGGACTGCCAGAAGAACATATGCATTTGTCTAGAAAGGCGGAGTCAGAACTCGCCTTAGAATGAGGGTGTTTGTCTTAGGTACTTTGGGCATGGTGTCAGGAGACCAGTCCTGGAAAGTGAACATCGTACTTGGTAGAGGCTCAGCAAAAATAAGGAAGGGCCGCAAGAAGATGAAGGTAGCCCTGGGCTCCAGCATGACCACTGTGAAGATGGTGCAGCTGGTGCTGAACACCCATGGGGTTGACAAGTGAAAGAGGGCTGCATGCACCGCACCTAACAACACACGCCATACAGCCCGATATACCATGGGTACCAAACAAGCAAGATTTTTGGGGTCAAGCTAAGCATTTAAATTATTTTACCAAACAACCATGTCACCTTCAAAGTACTCCCCTTTACATTTAATACATTTGTCAAATCTGCAAATCCATTCTTGGGAATATCTCTCACTCATCTGTTTGGGTGGCTAGACAGCACCTCCTATTTTTCTTCAACTCTACATCAAAAGTGCATCAGGGGCATGAGGTAAGAGAGGCATGCTGGTTTTTGCCAAAAAACTGGCGCAGAGATGGCTGCGTGACCAGGTGCATTGTTGTGGTGACAAAACCAGTGCCCTGACACAAATCAGGCCTTTTTGTCACACACTGTTATGAAATCTTCTCAGAACCTCTAAATAGAAAGCTTAACAGTCTGACTTGGTGGAATTAACTCCAAATCCCCTACACATCCAAAAAACAAATGGACACCATCTTGATCTTTGATTTCACTTGATGAGATGTTTGGGTGGGGTGAGGGTGGGGGCGCAGTGAGGTGATGATGGCGTCTTCCACAGGCTTGACTGATGTTTGCTTTCGGGGTCTTATTAAGAACAGCACCATGTGTTATTACCAGTAATGACCTTGGAAAAGTCTGGGTCACTACGTAGCTGTTCTTTCAAAGCACAGCATCCTAGTCAGTCAGAACACTAGGCACACATTTCACAGTGACTCTTCTCATTTCCAAACCTGTTCAAATCGCTGAACCAAGTTTCAAGATGGTCCAAATAGCTTCTCCATCTCTTCAATGGTCTATAGTCGGTCTTCTAGCACAAGTGCATGAATTTTGCCGACACGTTCATTTATTTGAAAAGTTGACAAACATTCAGAACAAGGTTTGTCATCAATCGGTATTTCGTCTTTTTTGAAACAAAAAAAACACCCGAAAACTTGACTTTTTCCCATAGCGCAATCCTTACCTGTGTTCAATATCACAACTGTTTCTGTGGCATTTTTCCCAAAATGAAAACAAAATTTCACAGCTGCACGCTGTTCTCTTAAATCAGCAAAACTGCTTTCACGAAAAAATTCACTGTGACCAGAGAGAACCTTTACAGGTGAGGCTACTGGGTGCCCTATCTCAGAGGGCACTGCTTGATGCTCGCCTAGCAGGAAAAAATGCATACCACGAAAGCTCCGCCCAGCGGATTTTTTCTTCTTTTTGAGTGAGGGGTACCTCCTCTTATTATAGCTGCCAAGTTTTCTTTAACACCAATTAAAAATGCTGATTTTTCGCTACCCAATTCATCCAGCAATAAAGTAACCCAGAGTCTATTTTGATGACAAGAACCCCACCTTGTGGCAAAATGTTTCACAGTCTAATTTTGCTACATGAAGCACTGCCATCCTCCTTCGGAAGATAAATCTGTGTTGAGAAGTTATCATTTTATCTGCTTCACCAGACAGAATTTCTAACCTAGCATTTATCTTGAGTCTGCGATGGCACCAGAGTCTGCAGTAAATCTGCAGAGCACAGTAATTCTGGGCTTTGTGAGTTATTTTCAAGGGAAAGCTGGCGGCAGTCTTTGCGCAGCTTACTGCAGGAATACTTTAAAAGAAAAGCAAACACCGACTGAGTGAGATTCTGAAATATTATCATCTGTTCATTCTAGGTCCGGTTCAGATGTCACCTTCCACAAGATGGACACACCTAACTAAAACAATCAGCAATTGGAAAGACAAAAACTCAAGACTCACAACAAATAACACTCAACTACTATCACACACAACAAAGCTACCCCACACCTTTATTTCAACTTATTCATATGCAAATCCCCCCAAAAGGTGACTTCAAATTCATTTATTTCCCACTCCCTACTTTAAAGGACAATACTACTAGATTCCAGAAATATTGTCTCTTCTTTTTCTCCCGTAAAAAGAAAGTCTCAAAAAAAAGAAAGAAAAAAAGAAAGTCTCCTCATTGTCTCTCCCACCGTCTCTGGGTTCTCATTCTGCTTTCCAATGAGATTTTTTCTTTCTTCCTTTTTAATCATTTTATTAGGGGCTCATATGACTCTTATCACAATCCATGCATACATCAATTGTGTAAAGTGCATTTGTACATTCATTACCCTCGTCATTCTCAAAACATTTGCTCTCCACTTA